TGATGAGATTGCATGCAGGAAATATACAATGCACTAATAGAGTAACTCCAATCCAACAAGAAAAGTACTATTGCATAAAGAAATCATGGCGATGCAAAAAGCATGCATGAAACAAATCATGAAGATGCATAAAGCATAAATGAAACAATAGAGAAGGTATGAAACAATGGGGACTAGAAGAAGGAACATAGGGTAGTTTCCAAATTGACATAAAAAAGGTTAGCAAAACAAGTAAAAAATACACAAACAAGTGGAAAAGCTGAGATGGGAAAAAAAGCACGGGGACTGTGTACTAGAAGATATAGATGTTGATGTGATACTAAAAGGAACAAATACGAAAAGAAAAAAGAGGAGAAATAAAACTATCATGATGAAACAATGGTGATTGGCTTTTAGTCCCGTCGAATGCAATAAGGTGACTAGCTTGGAATTGCCATAAGCTTAGAACCCATACAGAGTTTGTGATCTTCGAAATATTTTGAAGAAAAAAAACTTTGATATGGTTTTCACGTCAAAAACCATGTCCAATAAAATAAGGATTAATAGGGTATGAAGAGTATGCCAATATAGTGGAATGTTTATGGTAGATGCAGTGGGGAAGAGTGATGGTTTAACTATGCTAAGGCAATGGGAAGTTAATATGTCACTGAGAAGTTATTCTAAGTATTACATTGATATGGGATGGTGGATACAAATGGCAAGTAATGAAGGATTATAAGGTTTTATGGAGAATTGGCTACACAGGCTAGGGCATAATGCATGGGATATGTTGAGAAGATTAGGTCATGGCTTTGTATGAGGGATTTTAATGAGATTTTATGAGACAAAGAGAAAGTTAGGGAAAGAGTGAGACCTGTAGCACAAATGGAAACATTTTGAAAGATATTAGAAGATGTCGAGCTTTGTGACTTGGGTTATATTGGATATGATTTTACATGGCATATGGCAGAATAATGGAAAAGACGATCCAAGAAAGGTTGGTTCACACCATTAGGAATAATGATTGGATGGATTATTTCCTCGACTTTATGGTACGACACCTAACTTGCTCTACTCTCGAATATTGTCAAATTTTTAATTGACACAATAGGGGCTAAGCAAAATAGATGGAACCGATCATTAAAAAGACAAAAATACTTTGAAGCTATATGGCTTATCGAGCCAGATTACATGGATATCATGGATAAATAGTGAAATGGTAAGGATTACATAGATTTGAAAAATAAGTTGTGTGAGACCTAAGACAAGCTTTATGATTGGTATGCAAACAAATTCCAAGTTTTAAGAAATGTATTTAGGAGCTACATGGCTAATTGAAGGTGATGCAACAAAAGGCTATTGATGATGTTAATTTGAGCAAGAAGAATGAGCTTAAAACGTGCCTTAACAATTTGCTTGATCAGGAAAAATTATTTTGGAAACAGAGATCCCAGGTTAATTGGTTGAAAGATAAGGTAAAAAAAACATGATTTTTTCGTGCACAAGCATCTCAGCATAAAAGAGTGAATAAATTAATTAGAATAGAAGATAAGAATAAGGCTTGGCATGAAAGAGAACATGAAGTGGTTGAACAAGTAGTGAGATATTTTAAAAATATTTTTAAGTGTCAAGGATCACCAGATCTAGCTCATTTGTGTCACAAATGACATGAACGAGTATCTCCTATCAAAGGTCACAGCTAAGGAGATTTAGGAAGCAATTAAATAGATTTATCCTACCAAAGCTATGGGACCTAATGGTGTGCATGCATTATTTTACCATAAATTTTGGCATATCATAGGACCTAAAGTTATTAATTTCTATTTAGATTTTCTAAATGGAACTAGTAGCTTGGATAGTATCAATGAAACCTATATTGTCCTCATCCCCAAAACTAGTAGTTCTAGGAAAATGACCTAGTACAAACCAATAAGCTTGTGCAATGTTTTTTATAAAATTATTGCTAAAACTTTAGCTAATGATTAAAGCTGGTGTTACCAACTTGTATTAGTGAAAACCAAATCATTTTTGTCTTAGGTAGGCTTATATTTGATAATGTCCTTATAGCCTATAAGTTGCTACATACTATGAAACAAAAAATTAGGGGTAAGATGGTTGGTTCGCACTTAAATTGGATATGAGTAAAGTGTATGATTAGGTGGAATGGCAGTGTCTCAATGCTATTATGAGTAAACTAGGCTTTAGTAGTAGATAGAGATCCCTAATTATGAGTTTTATTTCTTTTGTCTCTCATAAGGTGGTTATAAATGGTTTAGTGACTAACAATTTCTCTCATGAGAAAAATCTCCGAAAGGGGATCTCTTTTCATCTTATTTGTTTTTTATATGTATAGAGAGGTTATCAGCACTTTTATCTAGTCACCAAGGGGATAGCTTACTATAAAAGAGTTCAAGGTAGTGCCCAAGACCCAAGAATCACTCACTTATTTTTTGTAGATGACAACTTGCTTTTCTTTAAGACAAAGTAAAGGGAATGATGCAATATGGTGAGAAACATGCTAAAGATGTATGAGAACAGGTTTTAGGCAGCAAATCAATTACAATAAATCAAGATTTTTTTTTAGCTCAAATACAAATAAAGATGGATTGAAATGATAAAGAGGTTTTTTGGGATCCAATCCACTTTTAATCCGAAAACGTATTTGGGGCTACTTATGTTCATTGGAAGAAAGAAAAAGAGGGCTTTTGTGGAGATTTGGAGAAAATGAATAGGAAATAAAACATTGGAGTCATAGATGGCTATCAATTGAAAGAAAAGAAGTGTTTTATTAAAGTGGCTCTACAGTTTTATATCGGTGTATGCTATGTCTTATTTTCTGTTCTCAAAAAGCCTATACCATGAGATCAACATGATTATTAACAGGTTTTGGTGGTGGCACTCCATTAAAAAAAAAAAAGAGGAATCCATTGGATGAGTTAGAGGAAACTATGTACAAGAAATGAAAAGGGTGAAATAGACTTTAGAAGCATAAGATTGTTTAACAAGGCCCTTATTACGAAATAAAGATGGAGACTTATGCAAAATCCTTCCTCACTTGTTCATAAGGTCTTAAAAGTCAACTATTTCCCTAAAACTAATTTTCTTGATGTAGAATTAAGGAGAGCACCTTCCTATACTTGGAGAAGCATTTGGCAAGAAATTGCTATCCTAAAACTTAGCTTGAGGTGGCGTGTGGGAATAGGGAAAGAATCAAGATTTGGCATGATAAGTAGATTCCAGTAGTGTGCAACTTTAGTCCTACTCCTCAAACAAACCACATACTAAGTAATGGAATGGTGAAAGATTTGTTCCATGTAAATGGTGTACAATGGAATGATGAAAAGCTGGATAATATGTTCTATAAGGATACGACAAAGTATATTAGAGCTATACGCATTAGAGTGGTCAACAAAATATTTTGGTTTGGCACTACACCAAGAGTGGAGTCTACTCTGTGAATAGTGGATATCATAAACTGGTATTGAATGAAATGAATACAAGCTATGGGGAAGAGGATAATGAAGGCATGAACAATAGTGGTATGAATCTATTCTGGAAGTGGTTGTGGTGACTGTCAATACCTACCAAGATTAGAATCTTTCTATAGAGGATGTGGAATGATATCTTACTAGTACATGGAACGTTACAAAGTAAAAGAATTATGGAGAACGTGTGGTGTTTGAATGTAACGAGGAAAACGAGATAATGATGCGTGCTATAAAGGATTGTATACGTGCGAAGAAAAGCTAGAGGCTTGCATACCCATATAAAGACTAGCATGATAGGTAGATAAGAGATGTCAGACAATGGCTGGCCTGGGCTACAAACAAACTGAATGAGGTTGAGATCGGTAGATTTGCAACATTGTGTAGGGCTTTATAGAGGGCTAAAAACAATGAAGTCAAGAGTAATATAATCAAAACGGCCCAAGCTACGATGATGTTTGTACACCAATTCTTGCTAGATTATAGTAGAGCTCAAGAAAAGGAGAGAACAAAAATGGGAAAAATGATAGATAAATGGAAAGCACTTATAGAAGGATGATTGAAAGTTAATTTTAATAGGACTCTTGAAAGAAGAAGAATAAGACGTGAATGGCATCACATATTCAAAAGTCATTGAAGGCATGGCTTTGGTCAGAGTGGCAAAGTTTGCAGGAAACTTGGGAATGTAGAGGGTGATCATGGAGGGTGAAGCATTTATGGTACCTTCATAAATTTAAACAAAACATGAGACCAAACCTATCTATGATAGGAAACTTAGGGAATGATACCAAAGTGGAGCTATCTAGGTTCACTGAATGGAGAATCTCTCATGTATATTAAAAAAAAATGAATTGGCTTATAGGCTAGCTAAGATAGCGATAACTAGAAAGAAAAACTTTATATGATTGGATGGTTTCCTAATGAGATTTATGATATTATATTAAAAAAAATTGTACCGAATCCAAGTTTTATTAAAAAAATTGAACTAATTTAGTACTTTTTCAATAAGAATTTTTCTTTCTTAATGCAACTCAACGCAAATCTACAAATTTATTATAATTGAAGAAAAAGTGAACGTTTATTGTATTTGAATGAAACACAAAAAAGGGGGCAAATAACCTTTCAAAAAATCGGGTGCGTTGCTTTATTATTATAAATATAAAAAGTATTAATTGCGATAAAATCGAATGAATTTAATTTTTATTAGGATTGGATAGATTGAATTGACCTCGCCAATAATCATTTCATTTATTAATAATATATTAAATTTAGTTTAGCAATCAAAAATTAACTTTTGACGATTTTTTTTTGAAAAAAAAAAGAAAGATAGGAGTGGTCTGTTCGGGTTTGATAGCTGTATCTACACAGGATAGTTGAGAAACGCGTTTAAGGTAGGCACCAAAACAAAATGAATTAAATTCCTGTGTGAAGTAGAATTAGAAAAATAGTTTGACATTGCACATGGACATGATTGATACATTTATTTATTTATTTATAAAAACCAGTTGATGACTTGATGGAGAAGATTTACGAAGTCGGCATCCAAAATGAAAAAAAAAGTCAGAGGTTGTCTGTGCAACTTCAACTTCTTGGCCCTAGCAGCACGGCGTTATGGCAGATCCCAGTTCAGCTCCTCAACACCCAATCCAAGGAAACAAATTAAACAAATAAGTGATCAAAAAAAAGAAAAAAAAAAACTAATTGTATTCAAGCTGATCTGCTCTCATGCTCATGGCTTCCCATCTCTATGGCCGATAACTATGGCCATCACACTGTTTTAAACGTCTTTTTTGTTTCGACACTGCCCATATTATATTTAATGTAATATAATGTATACATATTATTATTGTTAATTCCCAATTCCCCTCTTTCACTTTCACTTCCTCAATTACCTTTTTAAAAAGTCTAAAATTAAAAAAAAATATATTTATATGTATCGATCTGAATCTCTACATCTGCTCAAATAACATATATGCAGTACACACCTCTTCACTCACACAACACTGATCTCTGGCCTCTACTGTAACCCCTTACCCATTACTGAATCATGAAACTTTGATATTCTAAAACGAAGATCACAGCATCAACATATAGTTTGTGTATAAACAGTGATAGTGTACAAGTAGTTTTTGAGATAAGATGGACAAGTATGAGGTGGTCAAAGATTTGGGAACCGGCAATTTTGGGGTGGCCAGACTTCTCAGGCACAAGGAGACCAAGGAGCTTGTTGCCATGAAATATATTGAGAGAGGCCAGAAGGTTTGTTTTTCTTTCACACCAAAATATTTTATTTTAACGGATTATTTACATCTTTCTTTAATTTTGAGTTTTTTTTTTAGCATTTGTTAGGTTCTGACCGAATCAACTCATGATTTTACTTAGTATTTTTTCGGTTTCATGATCCATTTGCTGAGAATCGGAGTGATAAATCTGGTTTTAGCTTGACTTGAGTTAAACTCGGATTTTTCTGTTTCTTTTAAGTTTTTTCTTTACCATTTGAGATTAATTCTTTTTTTTCTTTTTTTGTTCTCTTCCTTTTAGACGCCAAATGGATTGATTGAAAGCCTAGTTGTATTTGTTTGCAGATAGATGAGAATGTGGCTAGAGAGATTATCAATCACAGATCTCTTAGACACCCCAATATTATCCGGTTCAAGGAGGCAACTATCATCTCTTCATTGATCTGTAATTATTTTTTTTTTAATTTGCAATGATTCTATTTTGATGGTATGCGAATGCTGTAGGTGGTTCTGACTCCAACACATTTAGCAATTGTGATGGAGTATGCAGCAGGTGGTGAGCTCTTTGAACGGATTTGCAGTGCCCGTAGATTCAGTGAAGATGAGGTCCTTTTCTCTTTCTATTAGTGTTCATTTCATTAGCATTTTTTCTCTTTAGTGATTAGAAACAATTAATCTTACTGCTTAACTATTGTGTTTGTTCTTTTTTTGTTCAGGCTAGGTATTTTTTTCAGCAGTTGATCTCAGGTGTTAATTACTGTCATTCTATGGTAATTTAAACTCAAAAGTCAAAACTATAATGTTTCTAAATGCATGCAAAATGCAAGAGCTAAATGCATTTTTATTTCTTTGTCTCTTTCTTGTTTGCAGCAAATATGCCATAGAGATTTGAAATTAGAAAATACACTTTTAGATGGAAGTCCTGCACCTCGCTTGAAAATCTGTGATTTTGGTTACTCTAAGGTTTGGAAAAAATTACATCTGCTCCATTCTACTTGTTTGCTTTGTGGTTTTCCAATCATTAATTTGTTTTCCTAAAACCTGGTGTAGTCATCTCTGTTGCATTCAAGACCCAAATCGACAGTTGGAACTCCAGCATATATAGCACCCGAAGTTTTATCCCGGCAAGAATACGATGGAAAGGTAATTATTTTGACTGTTTAAAAAATAGAAAAGAAAAACCTGTGTAATAAAATCTAGATATCCAGCTTAGCGTCCTATTGAACAAACTCAATCGCATGATTTGGATCTGGCATGCCACTTTTGACTTTGATGCAACCACAAAGAGTTAATTTGAAGATTTTGAAAGCCATTAATTTTCTGAATGCATGATAGTTTCTGTTCTACAACTTTTTAATTTTTTGTCACTTTTTAAGTTAATGCACTATCTTTTCAAAGATTATAGGAGATGTGATGCAATGGATTTTGTAACTATCCTTGTGGATGAAAGTTTGTAATACCTCATACATATTGGAAAGGATCAGCTTAATTCTCAAAGGCTTGTTATATTTAAGTAGCATTTTGATATTCTCTTCTTAATTTAGGATCCTTTTCTTAATAAGTTAACAAAGAGATATTTTGAGCATTAACTAGACAATCCATATGTCATGCTTTTACGTGATTTTGAAGGTTTTCTTAGTGGTTGCATTTTGTTACTTGATGAAATTTATGACACTTGTTAGTCAGGCTAAATTTGAATGGCTTTTGAATGACACATTGTTGTTACTTGACCTCACCGTACAAAATTGACATAGCTTTGTTTGGAGAATATTGAAAGCCCTTAAACAGAGATCATGACCTTCATGAACCTCAAAGTACTATTTAGTTATGGCTAAAAGTGTTTGGCCTTTGTTTGTGAAGTGCCTTTGTCTTTTTGGATCTGCCCTTTCTTATAAGTTATGCACAAGGGGCTGGTTGTGATTAGGCACAACTAGTCTGACATGTGGATATACAGATCTGTGTGGAGCACTGATAAATAACCTAAAGCAAGAGGAAGTGGATGACAGTGCCTTGACATCTAAAGTCTGGTCCCAGTGTTTGTCGGCAATGAGATACAACTTAAATTGACATCTCAAAAAAATGCTTAAGCAATATCACTTCCATTTTTATGTGAAGTCACCAAGTTTATGAGTAACATTCCATTAACATTTTTTTTACATAAATTATATGAAACAGAAAATTGATTATCTTGATTTATAATTGTCCACACCCGCCGTCCACTTTTCCTTCTAATTTGATTTATATACTCTAAAATTAGTAAATTGTAATTAGTAAAGTAACATATAGAAGTATTGGTGAGCTTAAGTGATATCTTTTCTTGTATAGTTGGCAGATGTGTGGTCCTGTGGGGTTACCCTCTATGTTATGCTGGTGGGAGCATACCCTTTTGAAGACCAAGAGGACCCAAGGAATTTTCGAAAAACAATTCAGGTAAATGCCAATCTGCTATCTTCTTGTCTTTTATTAAAAAATATTTTAATTCATATCATAATGATTTTTTTCCTTATTATTATTATCATTATTTTTTGGCAGAGAATAATGGCTGTTCAATACAAGATTCCAGACTATGTTCATGTATCTCAAGATTGCAGAAACCTACTCTCATGCATATTTGTTGCAAATCCATCTAGGGTACGTATCATTTATAAGTTAATTGGTTAAGCATTGTGATTGCATCACGTCAATGCTTTTGCTGTATGCAATTAGCTTTATAGAAAACCTTACAAGCATCTAGCAGACAATATAGGTAAGTTAGTAGTCAGTCTTTTGTAGCCCTTGATGAATGAAAGATTTCATTTCCAGTGGGAGAAGAAAGAGGAAAAAGGAGGCAAAAAAAAAAAGAAAGAAAAGGATAAGAAACCTACGGAACTGTGAATTGATTCTTCCATGAATAACATTCAAATGAAATTTCTGATTCCTTATATAAACAGAGACTGTGAATCTATTGTTTATTGGGACAACTAATTCTGACATCAATGGCAGCCTGGATTTGGGATGTTGACCACCTGTTTAATAAACTTGTTTTTTTACAGGTTCATTTAGGTTGCAATTGATAACTTAGATTTAAAATAAAGGATTAGTGGTGAATTTTAAGTGCTTATAGGTATTTTTGAATTTGAAATTCATCTTCTTATTACCTTTCCAAATATGTAGGCATTAATGAATCTTAACTAATTTGTGCATATGCATTTCATTCTCACACTTTATATAGCATACCAATTCCTAATGCACTCTCTCAAATTTATTTTTCTGATCATAGCAGGATTTCAAATGTTAATTCTTTACCCTTTTTGTTTTATTTTTTTTATTTTTATTTTCCAGAGAATCACACTTAAGGAAATAAAAAATCATCCTTGGTTTTTGAAGAACTTGCCCAGAGAACTAACAGACGCAGCACAAGCTTCTTATTACCAGAGGGATAACCCTACATTTTCTCTTCAAAGTGTGGATGAGATAATGAATATTGTGGAAGAGGCAAAAAGTCCACCTCCATCATCCATGCCGGTCAAGGGCTTTGGCTGGGGACAAGATGATGATGAAGAGGAAGACATCGATGCAGAAGATGATGAAGAAGATGAATATGATAAACGGGTGAAGGAAGTCCATGCAAGCGGAGAGTATCAAATCCATTAAGCAATGTAATATTTATCCAACAGTTGTGTAATCAAAGTCTTAGCTTTATGACTTCAAGATAGTTTATTTGATAGCTACCCGATAACTTTTGTTTCATTGCTAAAAATTGATCGTTCCAAACTATAAATTCTCAAACTTTAGCACTATGGTACGAATGTAATTTTATCAGGATTCACTATGGATTGCAGGGGAATGGGGATTGAAATCGTGTTGTTATTAGAAAATTGGAAAAAGTGTCTTAAAGATGGATTGCAAGAATATGAATGGTGAGTGGCGGAGGACGGGAGTTTAGCTTAGACGAGTGAGAATGCAGTTTATTCATTTTGATTTGTTTATACATTTATTTCAGTGTATGTGGCTCCTTGTATGTTTTGATTTGCAAGGGTTCCTTTCTTTGTTAAATGATAATCTAATGCCGATGGTGATGTGCCTGGACGACGGCTGAATTATATAGCATATCTTTTGTTTCGGTTTCCATTTTTTTTTTGGTTTTGTAAGGTTAACTACTTATGTCTCAATTAATTGTATACATTGGATGACTAAATATTCAATTAGAATGTTAAACAATAGACATTAAAAAAAATTAATTAATTGATTTAATCTTAATAATCAATACTTAAACAATTTAAAAAATAATGACGACTATCCCTTGGATCATATTTTATTTAATCAGGTATGTAGTAGAATATGAGATTTAAGGATAGATTAAGAACATAAATTTTTTTTTTAAATGATTGATATAGTATTGATCTAATTTTATTATTTGACCATTTAACTTTCACAATAAATACATTTATATTCATTAATTACCAAATGTCCAATTATAATGTTGAATACTAAAAGTTATTAAAAAAGTATTAATTATTATTCATAAAAAATACTTAATATGAATAATTAGTCAATTAATTAGCTCAACCTTATATCTAATTTGTTTCTAGTTTGTATATGAATCATAACACTAACATTATTATATTAAAAAAAATGAGAAATTATTTAATACATTGTTATTGAAACTTTTAATTATATAAGCAAAGGTGATAGATGACACATATCTCATTTATTTATTTATTTTTAAAAATATATCTTAAAAAATATGTATCATCTGATTACTCTCACTTATGAAATTAAAAAATTATAGTACTAATATATTTGATAATTTCTCTAAATAAAATCGTATACACTAATTGATCAAATATTACATTAGAAAATTAAAATAAAAAAAAGTCATATACAGCAATTGATATTAACATAATAATATTGGATATTCATATTTGAGTGTTTCAACTAATTTTATTTCATAATTTTTCAAAGTTTGAAATTTTTTGGATTTAAAATTTTTCAAAATGATTATTTTTGGGTTCCGTTCATTAATTATTTTTTTTAAAGAGGATTTTTAAGATCGGAGCACATTTGTTAGCTCGTATTTTTCTTTAAGAAATAAATGGACCTTATCGTGGCGGATTCATCATTTAATATTTTAATGTTGTTTTAAATGGGCTTATGATATTTGAAGTCCATATAAATCCAGGCATGTTACAAACCCTTGAAATTTCTTTATTATGATGGGAAGTGTTGGTGGTTGGGTCAAACCCCAAATCAGAAATTGCCTACAAGAGAACAGGTTCTTGTTGTACTATTGATTGTATAGGTAAATGAAGATTGAAAATTTTAGAAAATTTATTAAAATGGAGTTTTTTTTTTTCATTTATCATTTAATAAATTGATAAGGCTTTAATCTAAAAATATTATGTGGAAAGATAAAAAAATAAAAATTCAAAGTAACATAAAAGACACAAAAATCAAAATTAGAAAATAAATAAAAGGTTTAAGTCAGTTTTTCTTCTCATAAAATACGGAGTGATTTTGACGATAAAATTCTTTAAAGAAATAAGTAATTTTCTTAAATATTTTTAAAATGAAAAAATTTTTAGATTCTACCAATATATGAGAGTGATCTTTAAAAATTTGTGATTTTTAAATAAAGGATAGAAAAACAAACAATGAAAGTTGATAACAATAAAAATTTAAGAAAATTAAAATAATATGAAAAACAAAGACCATTTATCATGATTATGAAATATAACAAATGATTGATTGGTATTATTATTTGAACGAGTGTCGCATGGTATTAATATTTTCTCTACTCATAACTTTTTTTTACTAATATTTTATTTTATAGATCAAAATTTATTTTTTTTAATTAAACTTAAGCTAAGCTTTGGATCTTTTTAAAAATAATAAATCCAATTGGATAATCAATTACAAGAAAAAAAATTGAAGTTTAATTCCAACTTTCAAATGATCATATTCTTGAATTTTCATTTGTAACAATTTGATGGCTCCACTAAAATTTATGAGAGTCAAGTCATTACTCAATCATATTTTACCATCTATCTTGATTAAATGTCCTAGTTTGATATTTAATTTTATTTTTCGTCATTTTAAATAATTTTTTGCGCACATAGTTAGATGATGTAATTTCTTTATTCATATTTTGATTATGTCTTTTCTTTATTCTTGTTTTTTATAATATATTTTTAATTATTATTCATGTTCTGAGACAAATTTTCATCGTTGTCTCCTGAATATGCCGTTCCGCACTTGAAGTTGTTAATCAACAACTTTGAACATGAAATTATCAGTTGACGCAACAGGGTGTTAATTGACACTCTTTTCGTTCATTTCACATTTATTTATATTTCATAACTTTGATGATGTAAAATTTGATACTTAGGTAGTGCTCTATGAAAAGAGATTTTTTTAAAAAATTATGGTAATTTATGCATGGATGTTAGATCATCGTGTTTGGTAAGCATTCAGTGATTTATAATTTTAGATTATTAAGAGTGATTAGATCATTGTATTAGAAGATAATTTATTTTATTATTTAAAATAGTAAAAAAATTTTATTATCGAGATGAAATGATATATAAAATCAATAACAGTCAATACTATTCTTTTAATACGTGAATTAAAAACTTATTTCTTCTTAAAATTGTAATTATTTTGTATTATAAATTTTTATGTTTTCCAACTAATATTCATGCTAATAAATTTAAATATAATTTATGTGTTTTTTTAATTTTTAAATATTTTTTATATATAATATACTTTTTTTGCGGTTTCAATGGATTAATTTTATTTTTTAATTCAAATAATTTTATATAATTTATACTATCTAAACAATTTACTTATTAATAAATATATTTTCTAATTTAATAATTTAATTATATTTTATTATGAAATAAATAAAATATTATTAATATTTTACAAATTATTATCTTTAAACAATATTAAAATCATTCACTTGTGTAACTATTATAATATTCATAGTTATTATGGTATTTGCAAATAAAATATTATTTAATTTTTGGTAATACCAAACATAATAATATTAATTTTTAATAATTAATTATTATTAACTAAATAAAGTAATTCTAAATCATAACTGATGTGATCATTTGGTAATAAGATCACGTGATTAAATTACCAAGGTAATTTTGAAAAAAAATAGGAACACTACCTTAAAGTTTAATAAATATTTGGTCTAATTTATAAAAGAGCTTATCTACCGTAAAAGCATAATCCAAATGTTTGACTCTTAAAATTCTAAAATTTTTAACTTATATGAGAAGTCGATTTGAGGTTTTGGATGAAGCTATAAATCAAAACTATTTTTTTAAGAAATGTTAATTTTAATAACAAATATTTAATAAGAGTTTTTTATATTCTTACTTTACTTTTCAATAATTCAAAAAATTATAAAAAAAATTTATCACTTCATATTTATTTTATTTTATTCATTTTCTCTAATTTTTATTGTCTATAACTTGCAATTAAAGTTGTTCCTAAAAGGACAACTCTCTTAATTTAAGAACAACTTAACAATTGGGTTGTCCATTCATTGCCCCATGTCAATCAATTTTTGTTCGCATAGTTTTAAATTTTTAGTTTTATTTTATTTTGTTTTTCTTTGTAGTTTTATTTTGTTTTGTTTGATTTCTTTTTATTGTTATTTCTTGATTTGTTTACTTTTATTTACATACATATTTAAAATTTTAGATTAAAAATATGAGTTATGCAAATAAATTTATAGATTTTTTATAATTATATTTAATTATTTGTATCATGTATTTTATAAAATTTTGAAAATAAATGAAAAATTTCCAATGATCAAATTAAAAGAAGATTGCAAGTTGTGATTTTAAAATCTTCCTAAAAGTGTTGACAAGATTTTGAAAAGATTCTAATAAAAAGAATTTTTAATTACTTTTTAATAGTATAATTAGTAAAAAATAAAGGTTGGTAAAATCAAGATAAAAAATGAAAATGAATACTTTTTTCCATAAATAAAAAGTAAAATAAGTTTGGTAAATCATAATGTTGGGCTTTGATTGGATAGAACATAATTAGTTGGACTTTGATTGGATTTGGAAAAAAGAACATAGGTGTTTATTTGATATGTAATTGTAATTTCGAGTTTTTTTTAATAAGTTTTGAGTTTCCATAATTTATTATTTATAAAAGAATAAAATAAATATTAAAATATTAAAAAATAATAATGATAAATATAAATATAAAAAATAAAAATTAAGTTAATTTTTTTTCTTTCTTTTTTGTTTTAAATATATTTACAAAAAAAAAGTTTATAATCTACAATAAATTAAAAAATTATACATTTAATTGAATAATTAATAAAATTAAAAAATGCTATTAACATACTATGAAAAATTAACAAAAATATAATAATACTATATGAAATATTATATATGTATTCTAATTTTAATATTTTAATATTTTTTACTTTAATTATTTTATATTAATATAATTATAAATATATTCAAAATAATAAAAAATTTTGACAAAAAATAGTTCCCTTAACATGACTAATTCTAGTAGTTTAAAAATATCTCTTCATTTTATTTACTTTTCATTTAAAAACTTGTGATTTAATTTAATAAAATTGACTAGTTTTTATTTATTAAAATATACAAAATATTATCCAATAGGTTTTTTTAACATTATACAGAAATTCTTTATTAAATTTGTCAAACCTATTTTAAATTTTCTTATTTCTATCACATTTCTTATAAAAAGCTTTGTCCATATCACATAGGCAATTACTTATTTGAATCTTGATGGACCAATTTTGGGCTTAGCAAAAAAATGGCCCAACAAAAATTTATTGCTTGCATGCTATGCTCTAGCAAATATGAATTCAACTATCTATAGTAATATATAAAAGTTGTCCGCTATTTGTATTGAAGGAGACAGCTTAACAATGTAAAATAAAAAATTAAGGATAATTTTTGTCTTTTCCAGAAGTTTCTACTTTTATTTTCCCTAAATGAAGAAAGAAAGCTTTTGCCTTCTAAACCCACATCGCATACTAATGCTTCACATTTTACAAAGAGGACCTAACATCATAAAGTAGTACCTCTATGGCACTTAGAGCTCTTAAAACCCAATAGAGTATACTATAAAGCATAAAAGTTGTCAGGGTACAAAAAAAAGTTGGCAAAGTTGATTAGGTTTGGTG